CCCCCAGAGGAGGAGAGCTTCCTACATTCCCGGACCAGAGCCGTGCCTCAATTAGCAGAGTTTTTAGTGGAGCCGCAGAAGCATATTAACCTCGTGACCCACGACTGGCACAGAAGTGGGTTCTTTCTCCACACTCCCTGCCTCCGTGGGCGACCGTCTTCATCCTTAATACTCAACTGACATGAAATATGTGCCATAGCAACAGAATCACTGACACCAGATGCGCTAACAAATGGTGTGCATTACCCAAACAGCTGCACTGGGGCTGCCATCCACACTTCCAGCTTCAGCCCTGAAAAAAGACCCTGTGGAGTCTGCTGGGGCTGCAGCTGTCACCTGGCACCTCAGCTCAGGGCGCCCTCTCCTCTGCCCTTCCGGGCCCGGCAGGTTGGAGGCTCTTCGGGATGGTGACCCCCAGAGGCTCGTTTTCAGCTGCTGTCCTTTGTGTACCATCAGTTGCTCTCCGGGGTTCACCACCTCCTGAGGGGACTTCACAGCTGCTCCAGGGAAGAGCCACCCCCCTTTGCTGTTTCTTCTCATTTCATTTTCCTGAGAAGTCAGAGCCGTTCACCGCTCACTGCTGCATAATCAGTCTTATCAAGATACTAATGAATTTAAGAGGATTATTTGTCTCCTTGGATGTTGCTAAATGCCCACTGTTCCGACATACAGCTGTGTCATCCTCCCTCCATTTCCATCTGCACTGAAGCTATGACGGAGCGGGAGCTTTGTTCTGCTCGGGGCAGCTGCCACTCTGTGACACACATCAAAGGGCGTGTGCTTCCACCCGCATCTCCCAGGCGCGCAGTAAGTGGCATTTGAGGGAGTTTGATGGAACCATCTGAGTAAGTACTTGTGTTTAATGAGATTCATTCTTCATGGGCTCCCACTCGATGCAAGACGGTTTTGCACTTACCGGAATTGTAATACCATAACACTCCATTTTAATGACGGCAAGTGGCAGCTGGCACCCCAATTCACAGCACCAACTTTTGTTAATGATATGCAATTCGCATATAGTTATCCCCTATTGAGAGATGAGAGCACAGCAGCCAGTTGGCCTGTGCTTGTCTGACTTGAACATAAGGATCAGAGTAACAAGGACCAGTTTTCATGGCCTGTTATCTTTCGCTACGTCCCGGGTCCCGAGACTCTCGTGGACTCTTAAATCCCCACTGAAGCTCATGAGCCTGAGCCTCTGAGAAGCAGCCAGGACTTTGTCTCTAACTCTTTGCTCAAACAGCCTCCTTAGGCTTCGCATCTGAGGTCTTTTGGAATAAAATAAGATAGCAGGAGGATGCCTACAGGTAGGAAGAACATGAAAAAATTTCATTCATTCATTCATTCACTCAATAGACAAATTCAGACAATAAACAATAAAGAAGCAGGCTGAGGTCAGACATGGTGATTCACACCTGTAATCCCAGCACATTGGGAGGCTGAGTCAGGAGGAATGCTTGGGCCCAGGAGTTCAAAACCACCCTGGGCAACATAGCAAGACACCTTTCTACAGAAAGTAGAAAAATTAGCCCAGAGTGGTGGCATGTGCCTGTAGTTCCAGCTATGCAGGAGGCTGAGGTAGGGGCATCACCTGAACCCAGGGAGGTAGACACTGCAGTGAGCTATGATGGTGCTACCACTGCACTCCAGCCTGGGCAACAGAGTGAGACCCTGTCTCAAAAGTAAATAAATAAGGCCAGGTGCGGTGGCTCATGCCTGTAATCCCAACACTTTGGGAGGCTGAGACGGGTGGATCATCTCAGGTCAGGAGTTCAAGACCAATCTGGCCATCAAGGTGAAACCCCATCCCTACGAAAAGTACAAAGAAATTAGCCAGACGTGGTTGCACACGCCCGTAATCTCAGCTACTCAGGAGGCTGAGGCAGAAGACTCGCTGGAGCTCGGGAGATAGAGGTTGCAGTGAGCCGAGATCACATCACTGCACTCCAGCTTGGGTGACAGAGCAAGATTCTGTCTCAAATAAATACATAAACAAATAAATAAATAAAGAAGAAAATACGTAGATCAGAAGAAGAAAAGAATCATGAAAATAAGTAAATTTTGGTTAAATAAATAAAGAATGTTGGAGCCTGAAACTATCAAGAGGATGTTTCTGTTACCTTAGGCGGATTCAACTGGATTGCAATGACAAGAGAGCTAGAACTGAAAACATTTTATTTTTATTTATTTATTTTAATTTTTTTGAGACCAAGTTTCACTCTTGTTGCCCAGGTTGGAGTGCAATGGTGTGATCTGGGCTCACCGCAACCTCCACCTCCCGGGTTCAAGCGATTCTCCTGCCTCAGCCTCCCAAGTAGCTGGGATTACAGGGAGCGCCACCGTGCCCGGCTAATTTTGTATTTTTAGTAGAGATGGGGTTTCTCCATGTTGGTCAGGCTGGTCTCAAACTCCCAACCTCAGGTGATCCGCCCGCCTTGGCTTCCCAAAGTGCTAGAATTATAGGCGTGAGCCGCCCCACCCGGCCTGAAGACATTTTAAAATCATCAAGCCAACTCTCAAAGATCTCCCAGGCAAAGAAGTCCTGACCTTCCCACAGTGATTTCAGCTCATTTTTAAACCCATTTATTGTCTAAGATTTAGAGGCACAAAAGATCAGAATCTGCCTGTCCTGACATAGCATCCAGTCCTGAGGACAACAAAATGGTCATCCTCATTTGAAGAATTTTTTTTCTTATAAAAGTTATGCAAATTCTCAGACGGGCACAGTGGCTCATGCCTGTAATCCCAGCAGTTTGGGAGGCCAACGCGGGCAGATCACAAGGTCAGGACTTCGATGCCATCCTGACCAACATGGTGAAACCCTGTCTCCACTAAAAATACAAAAATTAGCCAGGCGTGGTGGCACATGCCTGTAATCCCAGCTACTCAGGAGGCTGAGGCCGGAGAACCCAGGAGGCAGGCTTGAACCCAGGAGGCAGTGGTTGCAGTGAGCTGAGATTGCGGCACTGTACTCCAGCCTGAGAGCAAGACTGTCTCAAAAAAAAAAATTTGTATACAAATTCTGGCCAGGTGCAGTGGCTCACGCCTGTAATCCCAGCACTTTGGGAAGCTGAGGCGAGCAGATCACCTGAGGTCAGGAATTTGAGGCGGATCATTTGAGGCCTGGAGTTCAAGTCCAGCCTGGCCAACAGGTGAAACCCTGTCTCTACCAAAAACACAAAAATTAGACCAGTGTGGTGGCAGGCACCTGTAATCCCAGCTACTCAAGAGGCTAAGGTATGAGAATTGCTTGAACCTGGGACGCTGAGGTTGCAGTGAGCCAAGATTGTGCTGCTGCACTCCAGCCTGAGTGACAGAGCGAGACTCCATCTCCAAAAATACAAACAAACAACAACAAAAAAAAAAAGAGGCCGGGCACGGTGGCTCACGCCTATAAACCCAGCATTTTGGGAGGCCGAG